TTAGACTGTCACATATTTGATTCTTATCTTTTTTTCTATATAAGAATTTTAATGACTCTCCAAATCAAAAATGACAGTGAAATATATTTCTCTTCATTTTATCAAAGCATATTTCTAGATTGGAACTTCAAGCTCGATACAACGCTTTGACGCTAAAAAGTTTTATCCAATGTTGATGAAGTAGGTAAAATGGTTTCGTACTGTAAAAAAAAAAAAAAAACATGGTCCAGCCATTTATTTCATGATAAATCCAACTAATCATAAACGCAATTTGAATCCTTATAACGACTATCAGGGTTCGATATTTTTTCAGACAGTAGTAAAGCAATGACAAATTTTATCTTATTTTCATTTTTGTGTGTGTCTCCTGTTTTGGCGAATAAAGTTCTGGCAATAGATGTCCTAGAGCTATACTGATAGCCCAACAGATTTGCTTTTACAAGCAGACCACTGTTGCCATAAGTACCCATTGGTAGTTGTATTTGAAACTTTATTGAAAGTTATTTAGGGAGTAAAATCGTATACAACAGACACAGAAAGGGAGGTGAGAAAGAAAGAGGTGATAAGAACTAAGTCGAGAGAGAAAGAGATAGAGATAGGAACGAACGCATGAAAAGACAGAAAATGAAACAAAACTGAAAAAAATATAGAACATATACGGTAACTCCTAGAAGTTTGGGTCCACACCTGAGAAAAGAGGAACAGAAAACAGTGAACATAACAGCAAATAGAAGACAACAGACAATCAAAGTAAACTGGAAAATCTGAAAGCTGCCTTTGTCTGCCAGTGAGCTGATGGTTTTCTAGGTGCAGGCTTGGGTACTTCAGTGGGTGCTCTCTCATTCCTGATGGCCACAGCGACCTCGGAGCTCTCATCTGGATCCACCTTGGGTGTAACCGGCCCCAGTGGGACCTCAGCACTATGGTCTCTGGCCCCTCGAGACCCAGACCCCTATTACCCCATTTACACTACCCTTGAAAAACCGATCCGAGCTCGGATCAGTTAACCAGGCCGAGCTTGGTTCTGACGATCGTTTACACATCACACTATCTTGGTTCCTCGACTCCTCGCCTCCTAGTGACGATCTGGGGTATTACTGCCAGTATTGAAGGAGGAAATCAAGCAGTTGGTGGCGGTAATGCACCAAAAATTGTTTGCCAACTGCCATAAAACACAAGAAGAAGAAGAAGACGAAGAAGGAGGGAATCAAGCAAATCAAAATGGCGCCGCATGTCACATTAAGAAAGTTATGCTTGATTATTATTGCTGTACTTCAGTGTTATTATTTAAAATGCCATTATTTAAATTTTAGTGTGGAGAAGATTTCAATTGTTGTTTATAGTTGTTGTTCTTCTTCTGTTTTGTGTTGGTTGGCAAGCAACTTCCGGAGGGGCATTACCGCCAACTACTAGAATGGAGTGTGAATCGGGATGTGCAGCCAGACGGAGATGATCTGTCTGCTCATGCGCTCTTGTTATCAGAGAACCGAGCCAGGGAAAAACCGAGCCGAGCCCACCTCTAGAACTGGTCTGCAGTTAGCGAGGTCCGGTTGTGTCTAGCTCGGTTCAGTTCAGTTTGCTTTCCATTTACACACAATAAGTTATCTCAGTTACTGAGCTCGGACCGGTCTCCGCACGGTTTTTCAAGGGTAGTGTAAATAGGGTATTTGGGAATGGGCCCCTTGGAGGTCATGTCTGCCCATCTCTAGTGGTTGTTGCCATCCCTATGTCTGCCCTCCTTGTGTCCCAGTAATCAGGGGTGCCTGTGGATATCTGGGACTGGCGTTGACTCTTTATCGATCCAAGCCCCTACAGGGCGAGTCTGGAGCCACCCACACCTGCAATTGAGCATTTTTCCTTCTGAAGCAGCGTTGTAAATTCTTCATACATGAGCATCCTTATGCATACATACCGCAGGAGTTTTGCTCCAGGTGTTCATGGATACACACTGATTTATAGTCAGAAACTAGGTCTGTGTGTGTGTCGCACTGAATGCAAATGTGCCTACGTCCCTGCCGCAGACACTCTCCTGCACCTCTCCAAAATTGTAGGTGACCACAGACAGTGACGCAGACAGGAACCATCTGATTGGTCAAAACTTCTGCTCTACACTATGCTTTTTTCCTGTTTGGTTGTTTTGTTTGTATGACCGCCATTGCAGAAATTCACTAGTGAAGTTGAACTAGCTAGAAGAGCGAGGTATGCAAGAACGCTGGGACCCTTTTTTCAACTGGTTGCTTGCTCTTTTTCACCCTTATGTTCCTCCGTTGTCAGACAAACTTGCCCCCACTTCCTCATCGCCTCGGCCATATCTAGTTCAACATCTAGTTTGTGATTGTCTGTCTTGCGTTGTGGTGTAGAATAACATAGTGTAAACCACGCTTCAACATGGATTTTATAGGGATAGTGGCTGCTCAAGGAGCTTTTTTTTATGTTTTCTTTGGTTGTCTGTCTTGTCTTCTTTTTGCTTCTGTTCCTCATCTAGCTGTGGGACATATATTCCTCGAGCTATATTGGCAAAACAAGACACACAAAACACAAACCAAAAAACTAAAAATCATCCTACATGGCAGTTTAGTTTGTACAGCTGCTTTGTTTTTGCAACAGCTTTAAACACACTCCACTTACTCATGTTCAGGCAAAAATAACGGTTTAGAAAGTCATGTTAATCGATTCCTGTGGGCTACACAGCCCTGGGAGATTGAAAGGTGTGCTGCTTGTTTCTTATCCAAACCACTGTTACTGTTCAAACAGTGTGAAAAAAATGCATATCCTGCAACATTCCCATAACACCTTTCATTAGATAGAAGAAGAAGTATTCATTCATAAATAATTCTACCAAGAAGAGAGAAATCTCTTGACTGTTTTTAACTGGAAATGCAGCAGCTTCAGACCTTCAACCTTGCAGAGGTTAATTGTTTCTTTTTAAAGTATTTCTTAGTATCAGTATAGAAGTTGAAAAATGACTCATTTGTGGAGGAGGGTGAAAGAATGTGTTTCTGGGTTTGGGTAAAGCAAGTCCAAAGGCTTTTGTGAAAGTTATTGTGTAATATTTATAATGCCATTAACACTTTATTCAGTGCACACAGATTTTTCATTCTAACCTCAGGCTGATTGGTCCTCAAAAGCAGACAAAGACAGGAGGTCCATGCAGAGCAAGGCTAGAGGTGTCAACTGTTGGACTGTAGTTACAAACTTCCCCACACTCACTCACAAATCCACAAACACAGTTACGAGCCAAGTCAACCAACCGCAATATGTCACATCCTGTGCCAGTACAGAGAGGTTTCCTTTGCAAAGTAACACTTCTACATCCAAGGAAAGGCTGCCTGTTTAATGTCTGAAAAGCCACAGTGGGAGCCTTATGCAGTAGCATCTGGCATCACCTCAGATGCCTGCCAAGGTGGACATTAGATCAGAATAATTGGCCAGGGCAGCAGTGTGAGATGGACAAATGAGTACCTCCTCCTGGGTGACCTGATGGCCGAAAGAAAAAGGAACAACACTTCTCTGTGTGTAATAGGGGACTTGTGGAATTAAAAAAAAACATATGAGTTTTAGACAAACATTAAAAAATAAAATAGAATATCTCTTTTCCTAATAACAACATTTCAAAAATACTTTATTACTTTAAATGCTTCTACATTGTGCTACTCGCACAATCTTTGCTGGCAGAATCATTTGCACAAAATCATCCAACAGCTCTGTAAGCCAAGCTACAGCTTTTACAGTGAAAATAAAAATGATGAAGATCTGCAGCATCACACAGAATGAATGTGAATCTTTCAGTTTTTAGAAGGATGAAAACAATTTAGCTTTACTTTTTATAGGGAAGAGAAGGAAAAAAAAAACCAAAGTAGCAAACTGCTGTCTTCAACAAAACCAAATCATTAATGGTTTTATAGAATGCACTTAATGTCAGAACAAAACAAATCTTCTTTGGCCTTTAGATACGGGACTTTGTAATATTGACTGCACACTTGGGATGCAATTAGCATTGATCAACAAGAAGTGAAGAAGTCTCCACTTCCTAACTGATGATTTTACAAAAACTGCTTAATAAACTCAGCTGTCCAATGAAAGCTGATTTATTTGGGTTCTTAACAAATTGATGTCAAACCTTTTGTCAGACGTTTAATGACAAAAACGGACCCTTTTGGAAATATTAAGGCAAATACACTTCCTTATAGTTTTAAAACAATGACACTTACAATACTTTTTAAAAAATCAGATTTATTATAAAATATTCATTTTGCATTAGAGGCTGTCAATAAGTCTGCTTCTGCTTGAATAAGTCTGCTCTTGAATGACTTTTCCATTTGGTCAAGGTTTCATTTTGACCATAAAAAACATAATATTCAAGCAGAAACTGAAAATATATTGTTAAGCTCAGTAATACAAAGTACACAAACAGCTGTTTCACAAGCAGAGTTAAATAAATCTGTGATCAAATAAAAAAAGGAAACAAATAAAAAAAAGTAATAATAAAACTGCAAATAGAAAAGGGAGACTAATTCTACTGTACAGCAAAAATTCAGCAAACAAGGCATTTAAGACCTAAGTCCCCTTATTAAAAAAGAAATAAATATTTATTACAAACAAACATAAAAAAAAAAAATACAATTAAATGCAAAATTTTCCTCGGGTAAGCAGAATATATTGCTTAGAAGGATAACAGACATTTTCTTGATAATGTCCAACTGATTCATAAAGCACAATATTTTCTCTTTGGATTAAAAAAAACATACATATTTACAAACAAAGTGGTTTCATGCAGTGCATTTCGCTGCATATTAAACCTATATGAAAGATTTAAGATTGGCAAAAAAAACAAAAAAAACGATTGGTCAGAATAAATCCTCTCTGCCTATATGGTAAAAAGAGCGAAGCTAGGGGTTTTAAAGATGCTTCCATAATTGTAACAGTCCACACTAAAAGATTTAATAAAAAAAAAGAATATATATATATATATATATATATATATATATATATATGGGTGATCAAGCAAGAATGTCCATTTGGTAAGAGTCCACATCTGCTCCAGTGAATTTCTGTTCTTCTAACATTTACTTAGAGCACACCATTTATATTCCCCAATGGTAACATCCATTTAGAAGACTTATTAGATTCTACTCTGTTCTGCTTCATCCAATTAGTGAAAGTACAAGAGAATGAAAGAACAATCTCGTTAGCTTCCCACTGGAAGTGGATGGGATACAGACGGCAGGAGTTCATTTCTAATTTTCTGCATGCTTCTGTTGCCCGCTTTTATCAAAATCTGAGGTCAGTCCAAGTCGTCTTTGCAGACACAGGAACATTCTTCATGGTGCTCCAAGGCCACATCCGTGATGGACTTCTGCAGGCCTCTTGTCCCACTGCGATGTCTCAACAGAAGAACCTGTTGGGAAGGAGCAATCATTAGTTAACTTCTACATTCTTAAATCTACTAAATGATCTTATATTAATAAAGCACAGACCACGTTATGTCACGGAGTAGTTATAGTTATTTGTTTAGCTATTAATTCTACAGAAGCGTAACTCCAAAATTATAATGAAAAAGAATGAAGTTGGCAAAGATGAAAAAAAAGAAGAAAAAATACAGCATCTTTTTTTTTTATAACCTTGAAGGCAGATTTGAAATGTCATAGTTGGTAAGCAGCTCAATCAAAAATGTAACAGTGGTACCGGTCATGATGTCTATCAGGCAATTTTGTTTTATTAATAAGCCACTATTTATTAAATTGCATAAGTTTTTGCAATACAAGCCTAATTGGGTTAAAATGCTTTTCCTCAATCATAAGAAGGAAATATGGTGTATTTTCTGTCTACATATCAATCCAATCAGCAACTTTATTAATACCCCTGCTCTTAATACTTCATAAAAAACACTTATTGCTAATAGGAAGCAGTTAGGGTCAGACAAACCCACATACATGCACCAATATATATATATATATATATATATATATATATATATATATATATATATATACATACACACATATAGATAGATAGATAGATAGATAGATGTCAAATTGATGTTTGAGACTCAAACATTTTTGTTTTTATTCTTTTAGAATTTCTCTTTCTTGCATTTCTTGCGTGGATATCCCTATAATTCTAAGTTTCATCCCTGAAGTGTTGGTTACCTCGTGGTATTTCTTTGTAACCTTGGCAGGCATGCACTGGCAGTCAAAGCAGCGATGAGAGCAGCAGGCACAGTTTCCACCACAGCGTTTGACAAGGAGGCAGCTGGGCCAGAAAATGACATCTGTCCTTTTCAGCTCCTCTCGCAAAGACACTGAGAAGTTGCGCGGAGTACAGCTGTAAAGTCGGACTTCCTCCCTCAGCTGGTTGAGATCAGCTCCTTTGCAAAGATGGAGAAGAAGCTTTAGAACCATTTCATTGCAACATATGTACATTTATCCTAGTTTAAAAGCAGAGATCAAATGTGGTTGACCAACTTACAGTAAGTCCCCAATTGTATTTGTATATTTTTCCCCCTCCTTTTTTGGCAAAGCAGGTTTAAAGCAAATTAAATTGTGAAACCTAACCAAATTTTCCTAACTTTGTGTCTGTGGTGGAAATTAAAATTCAGAGGATACAGTGTCATACCTCTTGCTTTCTTGTTTAGGAGGAAAGATTTGCCCAACACGTGCCATGTGGGTTTATACAACTCATCCATATCCAGCTGCCATCGTTCTGGTTCCAGATACTTCATGACATCCTCCACTGTGCTCAGCACCGCCACTGCCTCTGACAGCTCCTCAACACCCTGCAGGGATGGGGGGAGGACTGCTGGGACTTCTGGCTCTGATACAATCTACAGAAACAAAATACCATATTTGAGATGATTCCTTCTAATTTTGAATTATAGCCGTGATGACTCATTTTCAGTCTTTAATATTTAAGACAATCCAAAGTCACCTTCAGTAGATTCTACAGATAAAATAATGGCTGAGTTAATGTAAACATTCACCTTCTTGTGTCTGCTGTCTGAGAACGAATAAATAGCTGACTAACACACTAAAGCACTTGCTAATTTATCCTAGGTTATGAGTATTAACATAACATCTAACTAGATCTTAACAAAGAATAGACAGTTAATATGCCAAGAAAAGTATCTCTAATGTAAAAATAAATTACTGTTAAAAAAGGTCTGAGTAAACAACATAATTTCCGAGTTTCACATTAATATTACATTTAGTTATTTGTGTGTGGTTATTTTTTCTCTGAGACAGGCCATATTTTCTATGCATCTGAGGTATAAAATACCTTATAATAAAATACCTTACTTGCAATGAGCACAAATTGTGTCGAAACATCTTCAAATTTTTTAAGAGTGAAATAATGTTAATAAATACATTAAGAACACCACAATTATACAAATTAACCTATAGAGTAATTAGACTTTTTTCAAACCGGATTTTACTCCTACTTTTATAATGACAAATGTAGAATGAAAGTATTATATTAAATAGAATCTATGTCAGTTTAAGTAACAGAGAAACAAAACCAGCTTGTTTAAACATGCAGACACTGCTTAATGTAGATGATTTTGACCAACACGGGCCAAGTGTTAAGAACATAAGCTTCTATTCCTTGCTTTGGTGCTTGCAAAACATAAAATGTAGAGGTGTATAGAATGCATTCACTGCCATTTGGGGTTGGGTTCTGTGAATTAGGCTTTTAGTTGGGCTGTCCCTGCTAAAACCTAAAAATTGAGATTTAAAACCAAGGGCCTCTAAAGACAAGACATCCATATTCTAAAAGGAAAGAATTTTATTAAGCTGTCAAATGTGATTACATCTTTTTACCTCCTCTTCCCACTTGCATACCGGCTTGTTGTTGTGGCTCTGGTGACTATTATTTCTTTCAGCCCTCAGTTTTCCTGGCTGCAATGTGCTCTCACACAGAAGACTGATAACTTGGCTTTTGTTCCTCCCACAACAGCTGAGGCTAATCTGTTAGACCTTTCATTCCTGGAGCATCATGTTTGGCAAAATGTCAAACTGCTAGTCTTTTTTTTTGTTATCTTCTTTGACTGACATATAAGAGGCAATGTAGTGACAGGGAAAAAAAACAACAAAAAAGAACAAAATTTCATGTCAAGTATGTGAAACATAGCTTGTGGTTGTATATTAAAGATTTCGGATGGAAAAGGGAATAAAAAAACTTTCAAATTCATTTAAAAGGGGTTTCCAGGATCCAATATGTTCCTTAAATAATTCATACAGATGAATTAGTAATGAAATAGATAAAAATGGTGGTTGGAAATGTAGAGAAAATTCTAACTCTAAAAATTAGTAGAAAATTAGTATTTGTGTTGTAAAACAAATGATGTCCTGAAATATTTGTTGAAAATCGAAACTAATACTTGGTTCTTGGTCTAGAAAGAACAGGTCTCAGCCATCGGTGATGTCCTCTGAACCCACTTAAGCAAATATTTACAAAAACACTAAAACATATCTATTCCAGCTTTAGGTCAGAAAAATAATTCCCTCTAAATTTTCAAGCAACCTTTTACAAAATTATATTTCTCAATCAATATATTGACATTTTATTTCATTTGACATTTAAAGAGTGTTACAGCAGGGATATTGCTTTGTTATACTTTCTAAAAAGTGAAATATGTATTTTATTAATTTTATGTTGCATTTGCAATCAGTTCTTTCTCCCCAGCCGCCCAAGAACAGTCCGGTTTTCAAGCAGTGCTCCACATTCTCTGTTCTTCTCACACACAACCACATCATCTTATTCCTGTTAGCTAAAATGAAAGGTTCAACTAACCATGTTGAGATGACAATTCTGAAATAGCATCCTGGGAGAACTCTTGAAAACAATATATTCCTCTTTCACATGCAGCTCCAAACCACTTCCTTGCACAAGGAATCTTTGAGTAAACAAGGGTCAGTGTGCATGAGGTGTATTTTTTTTCATTCAATACACACAATTAAGAGTAACTGAGGTCAGTGTAAAAGCAGATCTTAGAGTGATTATGACAAGACTCTTAGATTTGCTTCAGCGTTTTCAACATATTTGGATTAAATCTGTCTTTTCCATCCAAATATAATAGATTCTATGTTCTCTGCACGTTATAGACCAGTATTCAAACAAACCAGAGTGTGTAACATCTTGACTGTGTAAATTTATTTTTCATCCATTAAAAAAACAAGCGAGAAGAGGGATCTTTTAGGCAAACAGATCAGTGGAGTTCAGTTCTGGATTGAGACCTCAGCACCCTGAGACAATGATGTATGTTTTGTTTGCTCCCCTAAGCTGAAACGCCCACCACTCATCGCTCGTCACGCTCTGTTCAACGGGCCCCTTCTCCTCTGTGTTTTAACAACCTTTTTGCCTCGACTGTTTCTTTTTCTTCCATAAAATCTCTTCCTGTGGATTACAGACTTGGTTTTATTTTTTCCCTTCTTCCTATTCGTTGGAAGTGGTAGGGAGGAATCGTTGCTTGTTTAAATATAAACTAAAGTGCCGGCCTCTGCCTGGTATGAGGTTCCAGTAGCTGCTGGTTGACCACAGAGGAAACACAGAGCGCTGCTGTTTAGTGAGCACCTCCTCCATGGGACAGAGGTTCAAAGGGAAGACAAACTGAACATTTGAAGCCCAAAAGCTTTCCTTTCCTCCCAGATGGTTTCCTGCACCTTCTAGAGTTTGACTTTGAAAGAAAAACTTTGTCTCGTGTGAAAGATCTAATCACAGTTTAAGTGCAATTTTAGCTACAGAGATAAATCTTAAAAATGTGTTCAATAATTTTAGAGAACCTGCAGTTAAACCGTTTTTTATCTTGCCGAATATATTCAGGAATTATTTTTACACGGATCCAACATTCAAATATTATGCATATTTTTTAATATGTCAGGTCCAACACTCCAATGCCAGTCAGAGGTTTACTAACATTCATCAAGGGCAAAAACGTTGCATTAAATCATGGCTTTTTTGGCTGGCATATGTAAAACACTTCACCTCAGTGCATTTTAAAAGCATGAGAAATGGGAAATTTCTCTAATTCTCATGTTTAACAGTATACAGGCTCACAAATATGTTGTTTAATTACTAGAAAGTTGCTGTCATAGAATCAGCTCAAAACCTTATTTCAGTAACTCAGTTGTTTCAAGACATATATTCATTTTATGTAATCAGTTACAGGGTTAAAAATGTGCGTTTACTGCTTAGGCAATCTCAGCTTCTTTTAGAATGTTTAAAGCTTTCTTGACCATCTCGGGCTGAGAGTTTAATGCTCTGTACAGATTTTTTAATCCACCAAGCATATGTAGCATATTTATATGTTTGAACATATACATATGCTAAATTATTATTGAAAATAGATCAGACTGTGCTGCAGTATAAGTGCCCAAACATTTTACTTAAGTGTTGCACTGCTCTAACTTTTCTTAATCAAGTCAAATAAAAAAATCACCCTAAATATTACTCAGGTAAGAGTAAAAACATGGCTACTGAAGTAATGGGTAACTGCTGAATCATAACTTCTGATTTCATGTTTAAATGATGTAATCAGATACACTTATGTGTATATTATATATTAAATTCCTCAGTGTTCAATATGCAGTGTGAAAGTACATTCACTCTGTTAGAGTCATTGTAAAAACAACTGAACTAAGATATACACAATGTAGAGTTAATTTAACACTCAGATTGGTGTTAAACTTAACTCTTAAAAGTGTTACTTTAACACTAATATAATATATTCTAATTTAATGTATAAAATAATCTCAAAAAATAGATACAATGATTATAAAATAACAGAAATGTCCAACATGAACTTATAAAACCAATCCTCACAGCATGTATATATATATATATATATATATATATATATATATATATATATATATATATATATATATATATATAT